TTCAATGTTGATAAATGTAAGGTAATGCACCTTGGAGTTAAAAATAGGCAAATGGACTATACACTTATGGGTGTGCCACTAGGGAAGTCGGAAACGGGGAAGGATTTGGGGGTCATTATAGACCGCAGATTGAAGAACAGCTCGCAGTGCTAGGCTGCTGTAAACAAAGCAAGCAGAGTACTGTCTTGCATTAGGAAGGGAATGTATTGCAGAGACAAGTCTATAATTTTGCCACTTTACAGATCACTGGTTCGGCCACATCTGGAGTATGAGGTCCAGTTTTGGTCACCGATACTCAGAAAGGATGTCCTTGAGCTGGAAAAAGTCCAGAGGAGGGCAACCAAACTTATTAAGGGGTTTGATGACCTGAACTATGACACAAGGTTGTTAAAATGAAATATGTTCTCTTTGGAGGTTAGGAGATTAAGGGGGGGCATGATTTTCCTGTATAAACTATTCAAGCGCAACAGCAACATTATTAACAAACTGTTTACGCTTAGCTCCGTAACAAAGACCAGAGGGCACAACCAAAAATTGGTGGAAAAAAAATTTCAACACACAGGGCGTAAGGGGTTCTTCACAGTCAGAGGGGTTAAGGTCTGGAACTCGCTGCCGCAGGAGGTGATCTCAGCTAAGAGTGGGGAATCATTCAAGAAACTCTTGGACGAGTTCCTCGGAGACCATAACATACAGGGGTACAGGTACGCCTAAGAGCAAAATCCCACATGGACTAATACACACGCACATACCTGCTCAAACATAAATGCATACACACAATAGGTTGGACTTGATGGACTTATGTCTTTATTCAACCTCAACCTAGAAAGATCAATTCGCCTGCTGCTGCTTACTCCAATGGTCCCCATCCCAGTTCATCCTGGATTTGTGGGAACAAGGAGGCCTGCAACCTTAGCATTGGCAGCTCCTATGCAGAGACAATGAAGGAACTCAAAGTGGCACAAGAAAGACTAGAATGTACTTATGTAGTATTCATATTTGCAGATGTGTACATATTATTAATTTTTATATTTTCTTAAACAATAGATTTTTATTGAGGAAGTAACCGATAACAACTTAGGTATTTCAGCATCCAGTATTATACATGGTATAAGCAAACATGTATTATGGTGAACCACGGAATTGAAATAAATATAGATATTCAAGTAGTATGACAGACAGTGAGATATCATTCCAACAATGTAGATAAATATAGTATCAAGAGATTGTAGTCAACAAAAATATTTTGTTTGTTATACGATTTCTATATTTTATTGAGATATTTTACAGCTGAACACCAAGAAATGTGGTTTTGCATGCTTGTAAAAGCATAAATGATTTATTACCAACAAATAACAGTTACCTGGTTTGACAACACTGTAAACTATGTCAACACTTGCACAGTAGCATGAACAAAAGGAGGTGCACCAGCAAGAGCCAATGCACATGTGCTATCAGGAAACGAGCTGGCAGGAGGAGTGAGCAGAGTAGGTCTAATCCGCATGCTGTGGGTGGGAAGGTGATATAACTATATTCCTTGAGGCTAGGTTCACACCTAAGCAATTGATCTGGTTAGCTGTTTTCGCGCAGTTGTCGCTTATTTCTGTTTGCACGATTTTGCTTTCTGTTTGCACGATTTTGCTTTCCGCTTGTTGCCCAGTTTTCAATGCATAGAGATGTCAATGGGACCCAAACCACATGACAACCACCCAAAAATAGCTCCTGCATCTTTTTGCGCAACAGTCGATTTCTACTGTGCGACAAATCGCAAAGGTGTAAACAGCTTCCATAGACTTGAATGCAAATCTCTGTTTTGTGCGATATCGTGCGGTTTGAACTTAGCCTTAGTTCACACCTAGGCGACACCTCACTGCGCGTCAATCGTGCACGATTCTGCGCGGATTGCCGCTAGGTCAGTTGTCGCCAAGGGCTGAACCGATCGCGCTGTGGTTGCCATTATTTTCTAATAGCACCCCAATCGCGCCGGGCGGATTGCGCAGTTTAAAACAGCTGCTCGTCGTGTATCGCAAAAAAAAAGGTACATGTACCTCTTTTCTGCGATTGCCAAGTGGATGTCACCATGGGGCCACATGGCAATCACTGCCTGGACTGTACAGGACTGCGCGATCCCGGGACGTAGTGCGTTGCAGTGCAGGTGTGAACCTAGCCTAATTCTAACTGCTGTCCCCCCTTTGCCTGTGAGCAGAGGTATATGAATCACAAATGTGGCTGGACAGAATTACAAACACATTGGTATGACAGATAGCTCACATACATGTATTTCAGCCGTGTATTTAACTGGTTGCCTGAGGGCTGATTTATTAACATTACTGTAATCATAAAAATTACAAAAATGTAACATCTGACTGGAATTCAATAAGTCTATATGAAAGGAAACAGATCCTTTGCAGTGAAATGGTATGCCAGCTTGTAACCTGCTCTCAGTTCGGGAAAAAGAAAGTGGGTTACAGAAAATTATCCAATTATATGCTCAGCTAGAAATAGTAATAATCCGTGCTTACTTGATGCAACGCAGTGGAGACGTTATTTATGAGACCACAACTGAACACTTTTTTTTAGCCCCTATAGAGCTATTAAGCATTTGCATACATGCTTCCTCTAGCAGAATATAAAGTTTAGGGGGAGAAAATAATGTATACATTGTGTGATTGATTTATATTAACACTGTGGTCATGCAGGGTCAGCCATTTCTGCATCTGCTTTGTAACTTACTATTAATAATCACTTAAAAATGGAAATGGTTTCCATATCTGGCTGCCTCTAGTAATGATGCATCTGATTCTATTGTAAATTATCGAGGTGGCACAAATTGTGTTCCGGATAAAGAAAAAAAAATCCTTTAAGTAACTAGTTCGCTCTGTTCATTGCTGCTGTAGCACTGCAATTTAAATGAGACCTATATTTTATGTAGGCAGTACGATATGCAACTCAGCAACCATTAACCGTAACAGATATTAATCCTTTAAATGTATATTTACTTTGAAGGGAAGATTCTATTGTGAGCGTAGACAATAAGCACTCTGAATTGGTTTCATTCAATCTCTTTCTTCTTTTAGACAAATTACTGCCTTAGAAAACACTATGCAGATATAAAATGTGGCAAACAGAAACAAATTCGAAATTCTCATATTCGTAGCAACAGCTGGATATGCTGCAAATTATAAACATTTGTATACTGGAAGCATCTTATGGAAATAATATAGTATTATGTCACAGTTAGCAATATACTTCTCCTTCTACAGTCCCCAAAGTTCATCTATATTGTGCCATGCAGGGAATACTTAAGGTTGAACTCCAGGCAAACAGCTAAATATGCAGATGATATACATATACAAGAGATGATTTGTCTGTTAGAGGATTTCTATTTCTATCCATCTACTCCTGAGAATTGCACAGCTCTGCCACAAAGAACAGTCCTGCCTGGCAGGGGAGGTAACCTCATCTTTTTTTGCTGTGGCTTTACTTCCACTTACAGGTTTCCTCCAACCTGTGACTATGCATTGAAAGGAGAAGCAGAAAACTGATGAACTCATCTCTCATCACTCTGCTTTCGACCTGCATGCTCCTAGCAATAACGCACACCTTACTGCCTGTTCTTGTGCTGCTCCTCTCTCCCTTTCTCTGCTGTAGAGAAGACTGCAAGTGGCTGATACCAGGTCAAATTTAGGTACTGTCCCAGCTTGCATTTAATGAAATACATGGTAATTATTACAAACCTGCATTCATTTGTGTCTCTCATACCTGTATGGAGTTCAGCTTTATTGTTGCCAGATCCATTGTGACTGATTCCTAGTCCAAATGTTGACTGATAAAGTCTGCCTGCCAATACAATTCCACATTTACAATGTGTATGGTGGGCAGGGCTGGGATGTGAAGCTCCACCCAAGTCAAAATCAGGCTTCCCCTTGAGCTGCATAACTTTTGGTATCTGGTGGTTGATGTAAACCAAGGCCATGGTGTTGCCCGACTGATTTCTGGTCAGGTGACTCTGTAACTGCAGAGGCCAGCGTCAAAGGGCAAGCGAATTGCCCTGAGCTTCATGGATTTTAATCGGGATCCAAGATTTAGGTCCCTTGAACTGAGAGGTTGTCCAAGACTCCTCTCAAGCCTGACAGGCTGGCAACCATCGTGAGTACCTTCCGGACCAATGGGATGAGGGATTTAACTTGATTCCATTGCTAGTTTGGAGATCCACCATGACGGGGCGAGCTTGATCTTGCTGGGGAGGTCCAGGGACTATACCTGTTTTTCCCTGTCAGCTAGAATGTTCAGCTGAAACAACCTAGTGTGAGACTGAGCATATAGGACTGCATCGAAGGAGGTCCACCATTAGGCCAAGAGCCTTCATGCAAAAACAAATGGTTGGGTGACCCCTGTACCTCAAGATCTGAGCATGTCCACAGCAAATTAGTAAACTAAACATGAGATTGTATCCATCATGGGAGGAAGCTTGAAGTGGTGGATATTTTACAGCACACACAGGGACCATGGGGAACAATAGTAGCCACCCTCCAGAAGGAAGGACAGTGTCAGCACCAATTCAGAGATGATTTGAGGATCTGCAGCTGAGTGATACACAAATAGGATACATTTTTGTTAACAGTTAGGGTACATGAATACATTTTTAAGATTTAACTCCTGAGTGTATTGCTACTTTAGGATGGCAGGGCATTCAGCTTAGGCCCCTGCAGTTTTGAGACCCTGTGGTCCCATGTCCTCCATACAGATTCAAACTTTTCAAAATACATGAGCTGGTATGATTTCTGTGGATGATGGGTCAGTCATTAATTACCCTTTTTAACAAAAACTCTATACTTGTACAGCTATTATACTCTGTATATTTAAGAATGTTTCAAATAAAATTTTACCATGTAAAAAAAAGATGACACATTTGCATGTTTAATAAGTGTAAAGTCACATAAAGGGCAGCATGTTCCAATCTGATATTTCAAATACAACACACTAGGGTTAATTAAACTTACTTTCATCTCCAGTTTCAAATTCAAACTTATGACTGTAGCCGCTGTATCCTGCAGCGGTTCTGACTCGAATGTGAAATATATACTTGGTGGATGGCTTCAGGCCTGTGATTATAACGCTGGGTGCCTTGGATCTGGTGGAGGAATAGCTGAGCTGTTCGTGTTCCTGGAGAAAAAAAAAGAAGAAAGAAATAACAGATGTAATTAAACTAATGATCATTTTTTCTTACTCCTTTTTTTTATTTTTAATGCATCCAGTCACCCAAGTTGAACCTTTGGTGAAAAGCACAATGTGCTTTTGTAACTGAGGCTGATATTTTCTCTATTTGTTATTCTTTTTGGATTTGAAAGCTGAGACTTTGATTTACTGCATGAAACGACAAGTGCTGTACCGACAGTGAGCTTATCTTGGTGATATACTCAGTTGTAGGCTTACAATGAAAGCTTGCCTCATAGTTTCAAATGGGAATTAAATATAACATCGCCTTTGTCACTGGAGAACACAATGAGTCAGGTTTAAGGAGAACTGTATTTTCATAGATTCTATACCACCAAAGAATAAATTGAAAACAGACCTAGTGTTCTGTATTTCCTTCTCTTTGACTAAAGCTTAAAAATGTAAAAGCAACAGGATGAACATTTGGGATGGGTTACTTGATACAGGATAGGAAACTTAATGAAAAGCAACAGTAAAGTAAAAGTAGAAATGGTACAGAGTTGATACCATGTGTTTTTTTGGGGGGTGGCAATGCTGTCTCTCCACAGATACAGTATATTGAGTTTGTTTTTTCACTCTGGGAGAGGACATGTATTACTATCAAGGTCACCAGATGAAAATAATGAGAAAAAAAGCAAATAATAATAGAAAACTAATACATCCACCACATTAGGGATGTCCCGATACCGATGCTAGCATCGGAATCGGGCCCGATACAGGGCATTTTGACAAGTACCTGTACTTGTCAAAATGCCCCGATGCCTAGCGCCGAAGCTTGCGCTGTTTTTGTGTGTGTTTTTTTTACCTTCCGTGGTGGCTCGGGTCCTCTGGGCCGGCTGGAGGAGCGTCGCATCACTGCTGTGGGCGGAACTCCAGGTGGGGTCTAATGTAGTTGGCTGACGACTGCCCAGAGGCCTCCTCCTGTAGCTCCGCCCACAGCAGTGACGCGACGCTCCTCCGCTCAGCCTCTCAGCGCCGCCGACGTCGTCCTCGCATGAGGAGAAAAAAATCACTTCTCTATACAGCCGTGTTGAGGGTGTCTTTGTCCAAGCCAAAATGTCCGCCGCCGGCTGGAGACTCAGCCCAGGACAGTTTGTACTCTAGTGTCCAACAAATCGCTTCCATTTACTTACAGTGCAGTCTGTCCTACCCAAAATGGCCACCGCCAGCAAGAGCCCCTACAGGAAAGTTTGTTCTCGTGTGTCTGGGAAATCTCCATTTACTTGGAGTACATTCTGTCCTACCCAAAATGGCCGTTACCTGCCAGAGCCTTAGTTAAGTTCAGATTGGCCTCTAGTGTATGGGAGGTAACCTAGGGGATGGTGGGAGAGGACGGCTGTGTATGAGAGGGAGATAATGGAGAGCTGAATAGATATATTAGAAGAATCGGAAATGATATCATGAGGGGGGGAGACAGGGATCTGATGAGCCCTCCGAGAAGGAGATTATACAGGATGGCGGAGATACAGGTGGGATGGAGGAGAGAACAGAGTGAGGTCTAGCTGCGGATAAGGCAGGCTCCATTGAACAGGCACCAGAAAGTAAAGACCTGTGCTGCTGAGATGGCAAGTGGTGTAGTTTTTGCCACTTTGCCAGTATTGTGTTTATATTCTGATTGCAAGTGTACATTTACTTCTTCATATAGAGTATTAGGTTAAATCATGATCTATAGTATACTACATACATAACATGTAGTTGTACTATGGATCATGATTTAACCTAATCATGTTAGCAGGGAAATAGGGGATAATTGAAAAACTCTATTGCTGTAGTGTACTCTATATGTAGTACTGTATTAGCAGTATATACTCTATATGTACTACATATCGAGTACATATAGAGTACACACTGCTAATACAGTGCAGACAATACATTTACAATTATACTCTGCTAGCATGAATGGATTAAATGATCTGTATGTAGCCCTGTACTAGGGATCATTTAATCCATTCATGTTAGCAGAGGATAATTGTAAATCTATTGTTGCAGTGCACTCTATAGGTACATGTACTATATACTACATATAGAATGCACTGCAACAATAGCTTTACAATTCTCCCCTGCTAACATGAATACGTTAAATTATGATCCATAGTACATAATATGTAGTTGTACTATGGATCATTTAAAGTCACCTGTCCCTTTAAGAAAAAGTATCGGTAATTGGTATCGGCAAGTACATGAGGGGAAGTACTTGTACTTGTACTTGGGCCTGAAAAAGTGGCATCGGGACATCCCTACACCACATCTATGGACTGGTAATCTGCAAAATTGTTCTTGGGTTTGGATATGCTTCAGACCCAATGATGTTCATAAACCTGCAAATTTTGTTGGACTGAATTTTACATCAGCTTTCAACTATAGTCTGCCCCTTTTGTTTGTTTCCCGGGGTCAATCAACCAGTCGAGTGGAAATCAATCGAAATCACTATAGTGCCAGTCGAAGGACACTTCCAATTTATTTCCACACCAGTCAAGCATTTTGTCACTTAGAACTGGGACACGATTGAAACCGTGGGTAGCAGATTACATAAACTCAGTGGGTCACTAGACATTGCCGCATCCCAAACATTGCCTTGCAAAGCTCAGGGCAAAAAAGTGTGTACTGAGCCAAATATGTATAGCCTTCCCATTTGCCCTAACCTTTGAGTTTAGTAGTGACCACAAGATAGTCATATACCTTTTTAAACTGTTTACTAGCTTTTAATTGAGAAAATAATTGTATTGAACAGTTGACAGCAATCTACCACCCACAATTTTAATCACTTTCTGTTTTCCTTTAGAAAAAGAATTATGAATTTGAGGTGGAAATTGATTGGATATGCCCTTTCACCAGCATTGCAGTCAGTGGCTCAAATCAATTCCCACTGCATTTGTGACAATCTGACCACTTTAGACTGAGGAAACTGTTGAAACAATAGACAAAACTGATTATATTTTTCAAAATGACCAAGTTTGTATCTAGCATTACGGTTCATGGTTTCCTTACTTACAGAGAAAAGCCCACATAGCAATAACAATATATGAAGCAACATTTTAGTTTTTTTTTTTTAATTCCCACACGATTGGCTATTCAACTTCTTTTAGGAAGGTAACGGAAGGCCAATAGAGTAAATGAAGCCCAATGAGTTTTATGTATAAAATAAGATTTTTTATCTACCATAAAATCTGTTTCTTGAAGTCCATTGAGGGACACATGATTGTATTTAGTTTTGGACATGTAGGTGATACTGTCACCTGCAGGAGGTTTGGACACTGGCAAAACAAAAAACATTAAGCCAGTCCTTATATGACCTTTCCTCCAACTGTCATGCCAGTTTTTTTGTGAGCAAACAGTGCATACAGCCAATAACACAAAGGGGCAGAACCTGTGTCCCTCAATTGACCCTTTACTTCCTTCATCTGCTCCCGTTGGCCATCCTGTCAATGTTTATTGTGATTCCAGGCTCCCCAGGCTCCCGGCAGCAACAAAAGAGCCTGCTAATCATAGTGGATGGGGTCCGGCTGGGGAGAGGGATCATGGTGCATGGTGACCCACATTTTGGGCTATAAAACTGATCAGGTGGGTTTATTGCTGCCCAGATCACTTTTAACTAACAGAGGGGAGCCTGCTCATTTAATCTAAAACAAGCTGATGAGCTCAGCCATAAACTCGTTTTAACCCTTTGATTGCCATGACAAGTGATACATGTCATGACAGGAAGATGGTTAAATATAGAGATTTTCTGGGTGCACTGCATTACAACTACACATTTTTATTACTACAACCACTTCCTGCTTAAAAAAAACTAATGAGATATCAGCCAAACAGAGAGTGCAATGTGTTCAATGGATTGGCAGACCCAGAGGAGTGGATTTAAGAACTAAATAAAATGTTCACGAATCGCTTGAGCCAACATGTCCCATCTTTGATCCATATGGATCAGGTGGGATTTGTTCCTTTTCATGAAGCCAGAGACAATACAATCAAGACACTCACTCTTATGCGATATGCTAAATCCTCTGGCCTCCCTCTATGTCTCCTGTCTGTTGACGCAAAGCAGGCATTTGACCGTCTAAGTTGGACCTTCCTCGCTATTACTCTGGAACAAATTGGCCTGCCAAAACCGTTTGTGGAAAAAGTTATGGCCCTCTACAATTGTCCTACGGCTCGGGTGCAAGTTAACGGCTTGCTATCCCCCTCCTTTACTATACGAAATGGGACTAGACAGGGTTGCCCATTGTCTCCTTTCTTATATATTTTGGCGATGGAACATCTTGCGGTAGCTATCCGCATGAATCAATCTATTCAGGGGATTTGTATTCGGGATCACCACTATAAACTAGGACTGTATGCAGATGATGTTTTTGGGCCCTATGACACCTATAATGGGAAATCCTGAGTTCCCTCCCGGTTGTATTTCCTCTCGTTTCCTTTGCTGGTCGGCCAAAGAACCGTCGCCGATAGTGGAGGCCCTCATGAAGACGGCCCTGAAACCCTTGAATGCTCTGCTAGCAAACTATCCGAATAACCCCGGCTCTTGGCTACTATATTTTCAATTTCGCACATTCTATAGTGAATTGGGGGGCCGGGCTGTTTTACATCGCCCGCTCTCCTGGTTCGAATCCTTTTGTGGCCTTGAGGAAGCACCTTCTCATACCATCTCCCTGATATGCCGCCAGTTGATTGCGGTAAAATCACAGGACCGCCCCCTGTATATATGCAGGTGGGAGAGAAACCTAGGCTCTGATCTTACTGACGAGGAAGTCCGTACATCGTTCCGGCTAACCCATAAGCTCTCTATTGCTTGTTCGGGTCAGGAAAAGGGCTATAAAATTCTAACTCGCTGGTACCGATGCCCGGCCCGCTTACACAGGATATTCCCCGATAGGCCAGCACATTGCTGGCGATGTTTGATTGCAGAAGGCACGTACCTTCATACTTGGTGGAGCTGCCCGGTATTATTACCT